GCCTCGGAGCCTGGAGTGTGAGTAGAAGTGGGGGCTCCGGCGGAGCTCCCCCCCCCAGTCCTCCCACCCTCCGTCTGCCCTCAAGCCACCCGACCCTGGGTCTCCAGGCTGCCAGTCCCTGGTCCAGCCCCCCCAGGTCTGCTTCCCCTCCGCACGCTGGCCCATTTTCCCTGACCCCCGTGCCAGAGTCACCCTTTCTCCGTGCTCCCACTGCTTTCCAGGCTCGTAGAGCTTTTCGTCTCAGAGCACTGAGAACTGAGAGCCTGTTGTTACCTGGCAGTAGCTGGTGCTTTTCATACCCCAGCCTGCTGCTTGTTAGCCTCCCTCCAAGGCCGCCAGCCCTGGGAGCAGAGTGGGTTCCCTGCTGCTTGGTCAGCTGGCTTGAATTTACCCAGGTCTTCTGCAGTGCGTGTCCTTCCGGGCAGTGAGTCAGGCCTCGCCAAGCACCTGCCTGGTGGAGGGCACAGTCCTTGGGGCACCCACTGTGTGCAGTGCCAACGCGTCCCCGACAGACACTCACCACCCTCGTTCCTCTCCTGGAGCTTTCTCTTTCCCACGATGGACCTCAGTGTGGAGAGGCCCTGTGATGGATGTACGTGACCCTCTTCCAGGTCCGGGACACGCAGACCATCCTCCCTTTGGAGGTGCAGGCTCCCCCAGAGTGGGATGCCCCCACGTCCTGGTACAAAGTGGCTCCCATGGTGACAGGTGAGTCTGGGGGGCGGGCACAAAGGAAGCAGAAGAGGTGTGAGGTGGGGTGGCCCTAACAGAACAGGGCCAGTGTTAATGTCGGAGAAGATGGGACCTGATGCTTGGGGCGCAGGGACGCGAGCCCTTTCGCCTTTGTCCTCCCGCAATCTGAACAGCCCTGGCCAGGCCTGGAGGCCCGAGGCTGGCCTGCCTCCTGCACGCCTGAGTGCTGCCTAAGGGAGAGGCAGGGCCTGCAGGAGGAGGGGTCCAGAGCGCTCTCCCTCCTGCCCCTGTCCACCGCGGGGCTGAGGCCTGGGGCCAGCTGGCCAGTCTTTCCCTGCCTCCTCAGGTCCTCCGGGGAGGCCCTGGGCAGGAGCCCTCCCAGGACAGTCTCCCAGTCTGGCTTCTGCACGGTCTTGTGACCTGGATGCTTCAGCGGGGACTTGGGGTCCTTCCCGGGCCCTCGACCCTGCACGGTGGGGACGCAGCATGGTCAGTGAGAGGGCGCCCGTGCGGGGGAGCGGTGCTGGCTCTGCCCCTCACAGGAGTATGGGACTCAGCAGGCGAAAGGAAAAAGGGTGGTGAATTTCTCTTCTTTCTGGATCCAAACCTCATGATTGCTAAGGCCTTCGGCTGCCTCCTTGCTTGGGTGTCTTCATGGCTGGAGCCACTTTCTCCCGCAGATCACCTTTATCTTTGTGTTCTGAGACAGCCTGGCGGAGTCAGTAAGTTGGCCAGGCCGGGCCTGCCCTTGGGATCCTTCTGCCCTGGGCCCCTGGAGTGTTGGAGACTTACATCCGGGCACCAGATGCTGGCAGCCTGCAGGACGGTGACGAATGCCGAGGCAAGCAACAGTGGCAGAACATTTGCTGAACACCTGGAGTGAGCCGCACACGCACTGCGGCCTCGCAAGGGTTTCCTTCTCACAAGCCTGGGAGCCACCGTTGTTATCCCCTCTCACTGATAAGGAAAAGCAGCTCAGAGGGACGAAGTAGGCAGAAAAGCCGCAAACCTAGCATGTACCTTCGGCCTTGCTCTGGGGCGCCCTCGCCTGGTCAAGGTTTGCGTAGCAGGCTGTTGTGAGGTCTCGTAGGCTCGCGCAGGTTGTGTGTATTTCTGTAAAGTGGAATTCAGGTAGATATATACATGGATGAACCGAGTGTGAAAACAAGCACTGTTTCTAAAAACTGAGCTGGATCCTTAGAAGACCTGATAAGGTGAGTCCCTTTTAAAAGATGCTATTGAATTAGATGCCAGCAAGATTACAAATTGGAAGAAAATTGTAAGATTCTGGACGGATTATGCACTCACATTGCCCCAAACGTGCACTGTCGAGTCTCTTCAAAGAAGGAGACTAGGGCCGGGGATTTAGCTCAGTGGTTCCGCTGCCTGCCTTGCAAATGCAAGGACCCGAGTTTGATCCCCAGTACCAACAAAACAAAGAAGGAGACTGAAAATCTCAGGTGATTTGTACCTGGTGAGGTTGATGTAAGAGAAAGACCCTGGCCCCACTCTGACAAGCAGTAAATGAACTCTTTTTTGTTGCTGTTGTGTTTGTTTGTTTTTGTTTTTTGTTACCAGGGATAGAACTCGGGACCCTGTGCTTGTGAGGCAGGCAGCGGAACCACTGAGCTAAATCCCCGGCCCAGTGAACATATTTTAAATTGAAATAAAATAATTCTCTCTGGTTGGATCAGATAAGGAGGGGAGGCAAAAGTTAACCTCTACCCTTTAAGGGTCTCTGGGCCTGAGAATTAAATTGACATGACACTTTTTTTAAGATAAGGTCTCACTACATAGTCCAGGCTGACCCCAAACTCACAAATCTTTCTGCTTCAGCCTTCCTAGTGCTGGGATTACAGGTGTGCACCACCACACCAGGCTTATTTACTTTAATTTTTAAATTGAGACAGGGTCTTGCTATGTAGTTCAGGCTGGCCTTGAACTCACTGTGTAGACCAGGTGAACCTTGAGCTTGTGGTGATCCTCCTGCCTCATCTTCCTGAGTGCTAGGATTGCAGCTGTGCACCTCCATACCCGGCCTCATGCTACCCCCCTGCTTTTTTTTTTTCAAGTGACTTTAGCCCAAAACAATCTTTACACCAAAATGGTCTATTGTGAGGTGGCATGTTCTCCACCCTTCCTGGGTTTCTATACTCTGAACTACTTTACAGAGAGCTTTTGAGGATTTATTAAAATATTTGTAGGGCCAGGGATTTAGCTCAGCAGCTCCACCGCCTGCCTTGCAAGCGCAAGGACTCAAGTTCGATCCCCGGTACCAAAAAAAAAAAAAAAGAAAGAAAGAAAAAAGAAAATTGTAGAGGACCTATTGTGTGGCAGGGACACAGCTAATCATCATCTATATCAGCTCTTATGTAAATGGAGCTTATTATCTTGTCAGGGGCCAAGATATTTTGTTTAGTATGTAGGCTGGAAAAAAAAAGATGACCCATGGAATAGTGGCCTTAAGCAGAGAATTTTGTTTCTCACAAAAGCAGCCCAGGGTTGATATGGTTGCTCTGTGAAGCTTGGGGACCCCAGTAGGATGCTTTGCCTTTTTCTCCTTCCTTCCTTTTCTTTTTTTCCACACACACAGTAATCTTTATTTCAATTCACTGAGTACTGTTTGATTTGAAACGCCAGGTATCGTTCATGTGCAATTTATTCATTTTTCTTTTTCTTTTTTCTGTACTGGAGTTTGAACCCAGGACCTTCACACTGAGCTGCATCCCAGAACTTTTTATTTCCTCTTTGGAGACAAAGTCCAGGATGGGTTTGAACTTGCAATCCTCATGAATTCACCCTGAGCCATACCCTCACAGCTGTTTTATAATTTTTTTGTTAACTATGACAAAAGGTCTTGATAAACTGTCCAGGTGGGCCTTGAACTTGCAATCCTGCCTCAGCCTCCCAAAGTGCGGGGATAACAGGCATGTGCCACGGTGCGGTGCCCGGCTGATAAACCTCATACTAAAAAAGAATACCAGAAGAGTAGTGAGAAGCAGATGGGTTTTAGCCTTTCTCAGTGAACTAGCCATGATGCAGAATAATTCTGGTACAGAAAGAGGAGCTTCATTCACTCCTTTCCATAACAAAATATCACAGGTCGGATACTTAAACAGCAGTACTCCGGAGGGTGGCGCTTTCCTTGGTAATTTATTGAAATACTATCTGAAAACCAAATACAAAGGGCTGGGTTGTAGCTCAGTGGTAGAGCGCTTGTCTAGCACCGGGATTGCCTGGGTTCTGCCCCAGTACTGGGGAAAAGAAAAGAAAGAAAGAGACAGACCTGCATATTTATCCTTTTCAGGCTCCTAATGAACTATTACCGTGACTTCGGACCTATGGCATCAGTTTCATTTCTAACCATGGTTTATGCAGCTTATTGTAAGTTTTATAGTAGGGAAGCACAGTAGTAGGATATTCTGTAAAAACAGGTGGGGAAAGCGAAGTCGCGGAGGCGGGTCCTCGGCCAGGGTGCAGACGGCCGGCCGTGCACAGCCCGGG